GTCCTCAGTTCCCCTGCCTGTGTTTTTAGCTAGCTGACAAGTTAGTTCATGCCTAGCACAGATCTGGCAGAACAATATCACAGGGATGATGATTAGAAGATGGAAAGTATGGTACAAGCTTTTTTTAATATCTCCGTGGTTGAGGGGAAAAAAGGAGGAAAAGGTATCAAGAAAATATGTATCTGAATCCAAATCAGCTTCAGCCTTTTCTTTCCTGTACTTGGGAACATTAAAGTACAAAAATCCTTAGACGAAACTAAACTCCTCTTGACCTAAACCAGAAAACCTTTCAAGAACACCACATTTTACTCATCATTAAGATAAAATCTTTAAGGAAGTCAGTGCATTTGATTAAGGAACCCAAAATACCTTTATTCTACCCCTGATAAATGCCTTCAGAAACATTGATGAATTTATGTCTGTCACTGCACTCTCAGTGAAGCTCCCTCATTTCTTACCAAGGCTTTCTAAGCCAGCAACTTTCTTACCTCTCTGAGAATGAATTCTCACAGTTCTTCAGTGGTTAGATTGGAATTTGAGATACCAGGGATCTGCATCTCAAACACCTATAGCCCCAGGATCCCAATGGGTTTAGGTTCCCACATCTTGCACATCTGGAGACTGGGGACCAGTGCCTCTTGAGAGCTGAAACAAAGAATGATATTGATAACGATATCTGCATTTAGTCTTACGTGGGGGATTTCCTAAGATCAAGTCAAGGAGCTGAGCCAGATTCCTTAATCTTTGTGCAACTCTAGGTGTAAACTCTTCCTGTGTCTGACATGGTAACATTTACTAGTACTGGATTAGCTGGCATTGAACTTTGAACACCTAGGCAAAATGTGAATAAAGGTAAGCTCAGGCCACTGTCTTCTTATGGATAATGTGCTCAACCACACCATGTGCTGGCAGGGGAAATCCTATGACTTCCAGTGGTGCTGCAGTGACCTGGGCTATTCTGTCATTCATGGCCAGCTCTCCCATGCCACACAAAAAGCAGAGGAGGGATTTGTACTTATAAATAGAATGTGGAAAACCAAGGGCAAATCAATAGCCATCAGATAATGTAGTCCACACTGTCTCTGGAAAGCCAAAGTGAAAATGACACAGGTGGTGAACCATCCATCTACCCCCCACCAGCTAGCACAGGTTTGAATTTAACTCAGATGCGTTTGGATGTGGTAGAGATAATGCCCAAGAAAGAGTCTCTCCGTGGATTTAGCTACTAGTGTACCTCTGTCCTGTAGACAACTTTTCCTGGAATAAAATAAGTTTATTCTGGCATATAAACCCCCATCCATTCCTGATTAGTGTGCACACCACACCAGTGCAGCCCTAACTTGGTCATGCCATCACATCAGCCTGTCCCTGCTTCCTGAATCCCAATCTGAATCATCAAGACAGCATTTCTGCAGTGCTAGGACAGAGATGGCACCTCAGTGGTCTTCCATGTTCCTGCTGGCCAGAACCAGACACCAGCCTTCTGCTAAAGCTCTGGTTTTCATTCACTGCAACACACAGCCTGGGGAAACGGCATGATCAAGAGAAAAGCTGAACAACCAAAACGAAGACCAGCTCTGTGAAGGAGTCATCTCAAAAGCTACCAGAGACCTTCAGCAAGGACTGCCTTTAGCAGAGCCCGCTGTGAACTACTGTCCCTCTTCCTCTGCTCTCTTCTCTTGCTCATTTCACGGAGCCTGCAGGAGAGCAAACTCTTTTCTAGGTATTTTCAGTCTCATGAGGGACAGTTGCACCTGTCACATGTGAGGCTGTTCTGTCCCCTGGCACTAGCCAGGGGGGCTATTTTTAGTTGAACAGACAGAAACAGAGGTAGAGCCTTTAGCCAAGTACGCTGCAACCCTCTGTTACCCATAGATAGAATCACTTTTTGGCACCCTCATTAAAGCACTTGGCTAACTTTGCTTTTGTCTTCAGGAACGCTGGTCCCAGCGAGAAATGCCCCTGTAGTGCCCTGCAGCACTGTTTGAGGGGGCAGGAGAGCACACCTTGAAATCATTCATCAGGGCCCTGTGAACTGAGGCAACATCTCCCAAAGCCAAGTCTGTATCTCACAAGAGAAGGCAGAGCTTGCTCAGACAGAGAGCCACTGAGAAGTAAAATAAGGCTGCAAGAATCCAGGCCTAATTTGGGCCTAGTTTGGCCAGAGCCCGATCCAGTGCAAAATAACATTTGCAGTTTTACAGAAGCTGAAGCGAATGCTTTATGGTTTTAATGCTGCTTCCTCTCTCCATAACTTGGGCTCCTCAGCCGTGGTGTTCCACCGACCCATGAGGGGCTCAATAAAAGGTTGGGAGTCAGCCCTTGGCAGATTTTGGGCTGTTACAGAGGGGAGGGAGTGTTGGGCAGCAGCATGAGGGACCAGCAAGGTGTTTCAGTGAAGTTACTGAGGGAAAAGCTAAGGTGGGTCAAGAGGACAGTTTCATAGAGGTAACGCTGAGGGAACTTTGAAAGCACAGCCAGGGGATGTTTTGAGGGAAAATCTCAGGTAAAGTCTGAGGGACAGACTGAAGATCTTGGGAGGGAAACGCTAAGCAGGGGACATTTTGGAGATGAAATATCAGTATCACTGAGGGGGAACAGGGTGCCCTGAGGGGTAGCCGGGTGTCTCGTGTGTCCCTGAGGGACTGTGAGGGACACAGGGCGAAAAGGATGCCCTGAAGGATTACCGAGAAGCCATGAGGGTGCCCTGAAGGAGACGAGACGGGCAGGGCGGGTCGGTCGCTGCTGTGCCGCTTCTGCGCTGCTGTTCCCGCCCCGCACACGGGAGTGGTTTCCCGCCGCTCCCCTCAGCCGCCAAGTCCCGCTCCTCCCGCGGTCCGTGGGGCGGGCGCGGGCGAAAGGTGCTTTGACAAGCTCGGTAAATGGTTGTGGAGTCGCCTTAGGGCAGATTTCGGGCTGTTACACAGGTACGAAGTGTTAAGCAGCGGCGTCAGGGGGGCGGAGCAGTGAAGTTACTGAGGGAAAAACTTCCCTCAGTGAAGTTACTGAGGGAAAAGCTTCTTGGACTCCTTGGTGAGGTAACTCAGAGAGGACAGAGAGTTTCAGAGAGGTAAAGCTGAGGGAACGTTGAAAGCACAGCCAGGCGATGTTCTGAGGGAAAATCTCAGGTAAAGTCTGAGGGACGGACTGAAGATCTTGGAGGGAAAAGCTGAGTTACTCACCTTTTCTTCCAGGGGACGTTTTGGGCATAAAAAATGAGATAATCCTTAGGGGATAAAATGCAAATTAAAATTTTCGGGTGAAATCTTGAGGAAATATCAGGGACATAGAGGTGAAAATCAGAAGTATCTTAGGAAACGCAATGGCAGCTTCTCAGTCTAAACTGTGTCCTGTCTCATCAGGAGCCGTCCGAGAAGAAAGCAGAGGCACAGAGTGGGACAGCGAGGCAAGAGTGGGCAAGAAGAGCAGTGGCTTCGAGCTGAAGAGGGGGCACAAGAAAGGCCCTCTGGGCAAAGGGACCTCCCTGGCATCCCCAGGGAAGGGATACCTAAGAGTCCGGTGGGCACCTTCAGGCTGCCCCAGCCGGCTTAGCGCTGGGCAACCTCCCCGTAGGCAGGGCTGGGTCTTTGCATTGCTTGTCGTTGGCCTTTTGTGGTCGTGCTCCTGTGGCTGCCCGGAGAGAGGGTCAAGCACCCTGTAAGGAGGGTGAGAGCCCCCGTCTCCGCACCCGAGGGGGGAAACAGAGCTCTCCTGACCCCCAGCCCACCCTGTAAGCAGGGCAGGGCTTTTTCCCTTGGCACCTTGGTGCCTGCTGGTGGCCCCTGGCCAGAGTGACCCCTGTAGTCGGGGTGCATCACAGCCTTTGTGCCTTGGCCAGCTGTCATACCCTAGTAAAAGTATTTTTTTACTTTTATTTTAATTTCTATTTTTATTTTTTTATTCTTAATTTTTTTGAATTGTAGTTTATTTTTTCTATTTTTTTAAATTTTATGTTATTATTTATTTGTATTTTCAGGGGTTTAAATTTTTTTTTAATTTTGTAATTTTGAAATTCTATAATTTTTTTATTTTTTAATTTAAGTCTTCTAAGTTTTTATTTATTTTTAGGGTTTTTTTTCCCCACCTAAGGAATCTTTGAGAAATGAAAAACTAGAGGCAAAAGTTTTAGGAAAGCCATTATAAGAAACTGTACCATAAGGTAGAAGAAAAGAAAGGAAAAGGATCGGGGGAGTGCCTCTGTGTGTATCACTTTCAGGTATGTGCATACATAGCCCAGAAGTAATAATGAGGAAGAGCTCAAGACTATTGCCAAGTTACAAATATTACTAAAGTTGCTAAGCTAGGGGAAAAAAAAGTCACCTTCCCCTTCTCTTTGATGTCTGGTTACTAACTTAAGCCTTTTGTACTTGATTAGTTTGTGCACTTTGTAGTCCTAGACTGACGTTGTTGAACACACTTTCTGACATTACGTAATAATTCATTCATTACTCCGAATTCAGATTATGTAGGTGCTCACACAGACCACAGAAGACAACATAGCACAAAACAGGTGCAACAGGTTAAACAACAGCAAAAAGATTGGTGCGTGAACATAAGGGAGAAGGACAACCATGAACACACTCAGCAATAAATCCCAGGCCCAGTGATGCTCTTCTGTTCTTACTTAAAAGTGCTTGTCAGCAGCAGAAGCAGCAAAATGCTTTTAAAACACTGACTCTTTCAAAAGGAGGTACAAAATTTTAAGCTTGTTTCCATCTAATTAACAGTAAAGCTGACATTATCAACTTTACAGAATAACCTGTGTTCTTTTGCATGTGAGACCAGATTTTTCTATCTATTTCAAGCCTTCCTCTTGCATGTTTATAGACAGACAATGAGTTTCCAAAATAGCAGAGAACAATTATCCTGACAACATTTTAACCCACTCCAATACTAACAAACCAATCTCTTTATGCTACTTATCTTGGACTCAGATATTTAGTATCAAGGAAAACAGCACAACAGAGCGAGCGTCCTTTAAAAAACAATGATAGACAATGCTGATTTAAAACATAATTTACTTAACAGACTTTGAAAAATTAAATTAGAACAAAGAGAGAATCCTTAAGTTTCAAAGTATATGAACTTCATTTTTTAAAAAAGTAGTATTGAAATGATAGCTTTACTTTATGTAAACATTGCTACACTGGGCTGTACTTGAAAACTCGTGCATGTCTAAGTTGCAAAATAATTTTTCAGTTTAGACACAGCTATGCCAATTAGCACTCAGATGGTTATTTTCGGAATCAACAGCTTTGCAAATTTAATTGCATACCTCTCCATATAACTCAGGATACAATCCTGCACATTCTGAGAACAGATGTTTCCTAGAGTTTAGAAAAATAGCATTCATAACTGTGTGTGCATTGCAAAGGCAAATAAATTAACAAATAGAGCTCTTTCATTATAAAGTCTCAAGAGGAATGTTCAAATTGCCTTTCTGAAATCAGAAAGTTAGGAACAGCAAATGACAAGTATTTAAATATTTCAAAATATTTTCTCCTTTTTTCTTAAGTGTAAGCATACTCCCCCAATTTGGATGGCAAGAGCCACCAGGCTATGGCAGATTGAACAATATAGTATTAAACCTGCAATTTTGGTAGAAAATTGGAATGTTACAAATATAAAAGTCTGCAGAATAGTACAATGTACATGTGCTCAATACAGTTGGCAGAGGTACTTCAAGATGCACAATTCCTCTGTGGAACAGGAGCTAAAGTAATTTACAAAAGTAATATACTATGAAGACTGTAAGATAGTCAAGTTAGTACAATCGAGGTTTATAAAAGGAACACAATACAGCAAGGAGCAGCCCTCAGTAGGTTACAAACCTCCGAATACAAAACTGTCTGGCAAATTCCAAGTGAATTCATTTACATGCACACACAAGTAACGTTGCACTTATTAAGTCAGCTTGTACCAAGATGGAACTGAACTAAAGCTGACTTACACCACCTTTTGCATATATCACGTATCCTGAAATTGCAATAATCAAATTAAAAGGTCTATACCACTTTTATGATCTGTACCTTGTACCTATCAGTTTTCATTTAGCATAAATCTGATTTCAACAGCCTACAGCTCTATAGCCAACATTAGTATTGTCCCCTTACAATCCACTGCATAACAGATCACCAGCTGTGTGTCCTTGCTTATGCATTACAGACTTGGAGTGTTGGTTTGAGGGTTTGGAGGATGTTTTGTTGTGGGTTGTGGTTTGTTTTCTTTAACAAGCAAACCTTGGTACTTTTCTCTTTCAGGATAGTAAATGAGCAACTTAATTTAAGAACCAGTCTCTTTTCAAACTTGTTAGAAAAACATATACTGTGTGTTTATATATATAAACAAATATACTGTGCATATATATATATATCTAGAGATATTCACCATATTGTTGACACCAGAGTGCTAAAACATACATCAATATGAGCACTATATCCAACACTCACTATTATTACTTTTCCCGAAAGAGTTACTACATGCATTTTTCCCATCCATTTATGGGACAGTAAGATACACGAAGACAATTGTTCTGGTTTTCCAATGTGAAAGAGCTGTTCCTGAAAAGCATGCACAGGTTTCAAGATAAAGCAATTAAAACCACACAAAAGTTACTCTGTGGCTTTAAACTCACTAAAGCTAAGTTATCTTTACTTTCAGTGGCTGTTCCATTTACTTTAACTCATTTAAACACAAAAGAGAAAACTTTCAAGTGATAGAACAACCATATAGACAACTGATAGACTAGACTAAATAAATTCTTATTAAAAAAAATGTCATCACTGCATAGCCACAAGGCAGACTTTCATTTTTGGCAACCTGTATGCAGACTGTCAATTACACTTTAAGACTTGTTATTTAACAGTTAAGAGACCCTTTCATCAAGAAACTATGCTGCTTTGTCAAAGACTTCATAAAGTTCTAATTTTTTAGTCAGTATACCTAAAGGCTGCCATTCAGGTAACAGAGATTATTTGGACCTGTAAAGGGTGTATTATATTCAACGCAAGCACATATTTAGGTTAAACTCCACAAACATTCACACGGAACCTTACTAAGGGTAAAAGTATTCTGGTTTATAGTCATGGTTCATTGATAGCCTGTACCCGTCCCTGCATTGTTTTCTATTTTCACAGAAAGAAAACAAAGCACATCCCTGTGAAGTATGGGAACCCCATTTTATGGCTAAGAATCTAAGAAACAAGGCAAGGAGGAGGAGATCATGGAGTGAAAAGTGTTATTTGTCTTCCGCCCCCCCAGCTAGCCCTGCAGGATCTTAGCCATAATGCTTCATAAAAATCTGAACTGACCCACGTAGTCTTCAGCCAATCAACCTTTTCAGTATGGCAGGTTTTGAAAAGGGCCAGCAATACTCATTGGGAACAGTACCATTAACATTGCATTCAAAAAAAGAAAACATTGGAAACCAGATCCTTGCTCTCCTGCTCTGTTGATACGCTCTAGTATTAGCCAACGTATGGTAATACAAAAAGAGTCTTGTAGTGATGTAAAAGGCAATGAATACGTCTATAGAATAATGTTCATGTGCAGCCAAAATGAAGAAGATTCCAAAGAGATTCAGGACCCAGGACAAGGTGTGCAAGAAGTTCCAGCTCCTTGGCGTATCTAGGAGAAAACAGAAAATTATTAACTTTGAATGTCTCAAAAATCTGGGTCACTACAAAATCCAGACCTGGACATTTGACATTTTTACAGAGACTTTTCATCTAAAAATGTCATGAAATGACTGTCTTTATTTGGAAATACTGTATAGAGGTCCTGTAAATCCAACCAAAACAACCAATAAGTTATATATGTCTATTACTTCATGACTTCATTTCTGGATTAATAGAGCATCCTAAAATAGCTTAGGATCCTGCAAAGCAAAATCCTTTGTTCAACCAACTTGTTTTAATGAAAATCAGCCATTTTCTATGTTGTAAGGGGGAAAATGTAACAAAACATACATTACTGTTGTTGCAATCAATCCATCATGGGTGAACTCAAACTAATTATCTTTTCTTGCTATATTATGTATCAAGTCACACTTGGTATTTACAGAAGAGTACCACTGTTTCATATATTCTCACACATTTTGAGGCTTGGTATTTGGGCTTTACAGATGATACTAAACATATGGCCCCCTAGCCAGGTGTTTTGGCTGACAGAGGTCAGTGGCAGATACCCAGGGAAGTGTATGGCAACAGACAACTTTAAGTATCTTCCCCAGTACTCTCCCAGTAGCAAGCCAGAAAGCCTTTGTCATTTCTTGGCTCACACATTAATTCAAGTGCCCTATTCATCCCCTCATTAATCCAGGTGGTGGTGTTCCTTTCCTGTCTGCAAGTCCACTGTCACAAACCTGAGAAAGAGCACAGGAATCTGAATTTGTATTTGTTTGCTTAAATGTTGCACTCTGAAATTTTTGACAAAGTCAAGGAGCAGACACTCTTTAATACTTCAGGACATTTAAATATTTACACTGTCACACCCCTGGCTGACAGCAAGCAGTACATATTCTTAATACTTAGGGACATTTGAGTATTGACACTCTGTACTTACATTCTGTGACAAAGAAGTTGAGCATGGTCAGGACGACAGTGTGCCCACTGAACATATAGTCTCCACAGGTGTGTACTCCAGTCAGAGTCATTCCAAAGCCACTCCATATTGCAAATGCCCGCTGAAGTTTTGCCCAAACATTGCCATACAACTAAAAAACAGTGACATTAACCTTTACTAAGTTCCAATCCCACTGCCAAACAGTATGTCCTAAAGTTACTTGTATCGCACTACATATGTTTAATACCATTTATCACGTTGTGTCTTTTATTAAAATGCAGGTCAGCACATCTTTGGATGTGCTGTGGCACTGAGTCACATTAGTAACTACAATTACTAATTGTATTCATCATACCTCTGATGAATACTGGAATTCAGAGCAAGTACTTTGTTGCAAGTGATTTACCCACAGAGTCTGCCAACTTTTTTTGAATGTATTCAGCTTCCCTATTGTCAAGCTTTCAATTTGTTCAGCTCAAACCTCTCTTAACTAAAAGTTAGGATGAAACCATAAAATCCCATGTTCTGTGGAATATCCCTTATGAGAAGGGGTGAAATAATAACAGTTTGTTGGGGTCTTTTTCAAAACCATGCATTCAACAAGACAAAGAAGCGATTACTCCCCTTTCAGCCTTTCTTCATGAAGTCAGTATCTTAAGTGCACACTTCAGTGTATTCTCTCTGGTTTACACTGTGAAATATTCTGAACACCCTTCCCCAACTAACTATATCCTCTCTGAAGTGGCAAGTGCTTCTAAGACCCCTAAGGATGCTTGCCTGTGTATGGTAATTAATGCAGAGGCATGGAAGGAAACAGGAGAGAAACATGTTGTTCTTAAAAAACACACATCTAACACTATAGTCACAACAATCTTAAAATGCTTTAAATTCTGTTTCCTTTTTAAAAAAAAAAAGTTAGATATGATTAAGTTTTTACCTTTCCAGTACACTGCAAGTGCTGGCCTGGCACCGAGAGTGAGGTAACAAACATTGTAATGCAACGTAGTAAGAACACTGTCCCCATGAGGCTGCACAGCCTGCGCAGGAGTATGGATCTGGGAAAAGTACACAAGAACTGGAACCAGGAAAGTTATGATAAAAACATTTCACCTCACCCCAACCTAATCCCATGATGTCCCTTCATCACTGCTGCAAGTTTTACAACATGTTTTTTAAATTAAGTAGTATTGTCAAGATATGGTTACACACGATAGAGTGAGTCACTGTAGCAAGTTTACTCTCACCAAAAAGTACCAAAAACTTTGGCACTCATACCTTTTGTTGGCAAATTGACAAAAATCAATAAACCAGTAAAAATTTAACTTAAAATATGCATGCACACAAAAGCGTTTTCTACTCTCAGTGAAAGCAAACTGTGGAAATTCATTCTCGTAGGATTTTCTTATAGACAAAACTGTTACAGTAGGAGAGTATAGACTGACAAGTCTCTGAAAAAAAATATATATCTTCTGAAGGAAATTACTTATAAATATGGTAGAAAAGCGAATTCAGATTACTCCTCTGAAAGATTCACAAATCATCATTCTTGATTCAATCCTCCCTAATCCATTTTAACAGGGACATACTAGGATCTGACAAGATTTTTACTGAATGGACTCTCTTAAACAATCATTGTAAATTCTCGTTACAGGTCTTCTTCTGAATCAAAGTACCAGTTAATTTGGATTTTATATACTCTACCTGTGTTTGTGAAGCAGAAGAACCAACAGCCAAATGTAGCAAAGAATTACTCCACATACTTCAGTCATAGCAAAAGCCCATGGTATCCTAGGGACGCTAAAAAAAAGTGGACAAAGCAAGGAAGTTAATACAAAGGCTTAATTTTTTTCCTAGTCTCAGTATTGAAAATAAGGGCATATAAAGTTCTATCCTCATAACTAATTTGCATTCATCTGACAATAGTATAAATTACAGCCAAAAATTCTTTTGTTAGACTGGATGAAATAGAATTTGAAATATTTTTAATTACATTATCTCCTTTCTAATAATGTATTTCCCGCAGACATTTACACAGAATTCACTAAGTCAGAGAAAATCTCTAGTATGCTCTCTTAATTTACATATGTGATTTACTGACAGGATGTGTTCCATTGTTTCCCAACAACCTTTTTCATTCTGACACAAACTTGCATCATGTCAATTATGCTGCTTATGCTTGTAAGAATGCCATGTCAACACAATTCATGAAATGCTGCAAAGCCTAAAATCCTAAATACTTGTAATGAAGCAAAACTGCACAGAAAAGTGTCAGGGCAAACAAATCTTTTGACAAGGAAGGCTAGAAGGTCTGCATGTAGTGATTATCAATGAAATTCTGAAAACAATTTTCAAGTCTTTCCTGTACACACATGGCACTAGTAAAAATTTCTACTCTGCAATCACCAAAATACAGATCAACAGATTTCAAGAGAGGTTGCTGCTCATAGTTTTGTGCTCCCCCTGATACAAAAGAGTAGCAAAGCGCTGCTCAAATCTGAGCTCTGTAGTAATCCTCTCTCATTGTTTTGTCAGCTGCTGCTTTCTGACCTCCCCATCCTCCTGCCCACTGAATACCATGGTAGCACCCTGGGAACAAAATAGCTCCTGTTCCCTCTCCTCTCTTTGACTCTGCTGGATGTGGTACATCCTTGCTGAGTTATATATAAATTATGGGGGGATTCTACACACTTAGTCAGAAGATTAGACTCCTACTGACTTCTTGAAAGCCATTAATGAAAGTGGAAATTACTGGCAGGAATAAGTAGATCAAAAAGACTGAACTTCTAAACAGTTTAGCTTGCCTTTTAAAACTCTCTAGGCAGTTAAGTTCTCTATGGTGCAAGTGCACTTCCTCAAAGGGAGCATTTATCCTTTAATTCAATAATCTGTAGGCAATGACTCGAATTTGACCTTTGCTATTGTGTCTCTTTTTGTCTGAAGTACAATATTTTTTGTTTAAAAAACTGAGTAGGCACTGCATAAGTCACAACAGCGGTTTAGTACACAGATACCCTATGGTTAAAACATATGCTGGTTTATTCATTCTGCTTCAGAGTTTCCCTAAACCATCTTCAACAAGCTGACAGTGGGGACACAGCAAAAATGCAGTATCAACGCCATTCCCTTTCAATTTCCTTGCTCATTGGCAGAACAAAATATTCCTTCATCAAAAGTTTTTCTATATTTTCTATATTTTTCTATATTTCTATATTTTCTACATGTTAAGCTTCATAGCAGCAACTGGATTTCAGAAAATGCATATGGCTGCCTATGTATGCCAGCTGACCACCATCCTTTTTACTAGAAAGTGAGGATGGATGAATTAATTCCTGTGTTGTAATGAGCTAAAGATTTAAATTAAATATAAACTCGGTAGAATAACAGCTCAATTTATTTTCTCCTAAAGACTAAATCTCTGCATCCAACTGAGGGGCATTTCAATCTTACCAGAATGATTTACTACACTCTAATTAGTATTTTGCAGAGGTGTCTTCTAGAGCAAATGAAACTCTGAAAACAAAGAAAAGACAGCCTATATTTTAACCATAAAGTTACTATTTTGTTCTAAAAGAAAATTTCTTACCTGTCTAGAAATATGTCTGGTAGAGGTGGATATGTTTGCATGTCAGGTACTCGCTCATGCACTATAACCATAACGAATGATGTAAAGCCAAACACTATGAAAACATACACACAACTTAAAACTGTCTTCCAGTACTCGGGGTCCAGTCTCCGTGTGGCGTGTTTGTTCTTTCCGTTTGCATACTGGTACTGATCACCATTCAGGTCAGTCATGAGTCCATCATAGTCCCGGGGTACTTCACCATTACAAAACCAATCTGTACCCTGCAGGGAACCAGCTGGGCACACCGTGCCAAGGTGACTGTCACTGTTGTAACCCAGCTCTTCCAGGACGTCAAGATGTTGCTTCTGCAGTTTGCGTATGGACAGCATCAGTCTCTTGATATCCCCCAGGACCTTGATTTCCAATGGAGGGGATCGTAAATCATACTCAGTAAGTGTCAGCAGTGTGATTCCATCTAGCCTATGTCTATTGCACAGAACATCCACATATTCACAGAAACCTTCTTCCTTCAGCCACTTGGCCACATTCTTGGTAGTCCAACGTCGAATGCAAAGCTGGTTATTGCCTGCCATGGTCCCTCTTTATCCACCAATCAAACTGACCTGCTGATACCCGAGAAGGAGACAAGACCAGAATGTTTATCAAAGATTACGGAAATGCCAGTGTCTTTTGTGCAATTTTAGATGCTTAATTAGCCCAAGACTTTTTCTATAAGAGACAGCTAAAAACCAGACACAATTTCTCAGGTAATACAAAAATGCTTTGAAAATTTTTTTTATTCAAGCAAAACTAAATTAGGATTATCTCCTTTGCTCCTAAGTAGAAATTTAAAGCTTAGACGAAGCAGAATATTTCCTATACATATCTAGTATACTTTACCCATCTCAGATTTATTTATTTAAACAAAATTATAAATTACAATAGGCAATGAAAACCAAATACTACTCTGTTTGAATACCAGCTCAATCATTAGTCTTTTCCACTGTTTGCAGTTCATCAACTATGCAAGAAAGTAGAGCCAGCAACCATGCAAAATTGAATTACAGCTGAAATAACACATTACTGGTCCAATATATTCCACTGTTTTAAAATATATACTGACGCTTTGGTGGCATGACATTTTCCCTCCATTTGCTTCCAAGTAAACCTAGATATCTACAATAATATTGACCTGAAGTATCTTAGTTCTATGTTGATGGTACAATCATCATATTTCTATCTCTGTTTGATCTCAGTAATTTAGACGCTCACTGTATTGTGAATCCTTTAAAATATTCAGCTTTCAAAAGTAACATTACTAGAAATTAAGCATTTGCTTTGATGTTAAAGCATCTTTAAAAGTGATGTGCTAGTAGATAACATAGTAACACACCAAAACTAGAAGAGATGTATTCTCTTTATACAGATTTCTCAGTAATTGTGTTCCTGACTATAGAATAATGCTTGAAGGAAGGAGAGACAGCTCAGCAACATTTTAGTCACATGATGGTGACGAGTCGCCAGACCAACAACCAGAAAAAAAGTTAATTACAGGACATTACATGGAATACATTACAAAACTCTGAAAGGCTACCAGTGAAGTAAAAGTACTGAAAAGTTTATGCAATATTTAAGACCCACAGCAGTACAGAATGGATTTGTGCATAATTTATATTTGGTGGCTCATGCACAGCTACCATCTAAGAAACAGCTACAATTTCACAGCTCTTTTGTACTCGAAAAAACAGCCTAATTAACTAGAATGCTTCAATCATGCCAACCAAATCTCAGAAAATACAAGAGAGTACAACACACTAGTGTCACATGCATCATTCAAGGCTTTCGAATGAAAGCAAAGAAACAGTGTATTTAATCTATTATTTAGCTTCTGTGTATAGTAAACCGGTACTCAAACCCATAATGAATATTCAGCACAGTTCTACATCTTTTTCAGAGGCACAGCTCTTTCAAAAACAGAAGCTCTTTCCTTCTCACTTCTCTTTTTAAGGAGGTATAGTACCTATTTTGCTCTTAATATAATTATTGGATGCAACTTTTTCTTCTGGCTTTCATCTAACAGAACCATGAACTATTTTATACTGTATCAGAGAAGATTCTATTTGTCTAATGGAATTTCCCAGCAGTGCAAAAGTAATATTTTAGAAGAAAAACAAGCACACAAATCAAACTTGCCCTTCTAAAATAATCAAGGGTGTGATACTTCTCAGGATATTCTCCCAGGAGTTGATTGTATATTAACAACATGTACTTGATTCATAGCTTTAATTTCTCAAAACTCCATATACAGTCAATATGTATATAAGCTTTAATACTTTGATTTAAATAGTTGCCAAAAATCCATAAAAAAACTACCAGAATATCTGGATATACCATATGCATCCTTCTCCATATAAAAGGGTATGTTCTCATTTTTATGTTATCTTACTATTTTTGAAAGTCTGGCTCAAAACAAGTGTAACAATTACTTTGCTTACACAGCTAGTAACAAAAGAAATTATTACATTTAATTTGCAATAAATAATCTGTTAATTGACCTTTTCTGTATTACATATTTTTATCTTACTTCAGGGTTGCTGTTTAACCCGTGGTGGCAACTAACTGCCATGCAGCCATTTGCCCACAAACAGTTTAATAATCAAGTAAAATATACTGAAAGATGAAAATAACAAAGAGAGACAAATAACACCCAAGAAAGACAAGTGATGCACACTACAACTGCTTACCTGGCAGAGCAGGGGAAATCAAAAATTCCTTGACTTAGGGTCAGCATCATTTCACAGCAGCTAAAACATCAGTGTGTTATCAACATTATTCTTATACTAAACCCAAAACATCCAGTAAAAACAAACAAGCTTGAGTTGCTTATCTGAACCTCCAACTTTCCTTACTCAGAAACACAGACGAAATACTTAAAAAAAAGTTGTTAATCACAGTGTTTTTTATAACATAGTAATCATCACAAGTTTTCTAAAAGCAGTGAACGTAGACTCACTACAAATACACTCAACTTACTGATTTGTCTTCTAACTAAAGCAACTTCTGAGGACAAAAGGAGGAAACTCTCCCTAACCTAAGAGAATTCTGTTCATTTGTCATAAGTCAAGTAAGCCTAACAGCAGCCTTGTCTTTCTTCATCTGGCACTGCCAGAATAAAATCCTTCCAAATGTGCAATGAGCATACCCATCAAAGGTCGCTATGGGCTTGACCTGGGAGAAATTCTAAGTTAACCTCAAGATGCAGCTAATAGGACCAGCTCCTGTTTTTAAACCCTGTCAGTGACAAGACCTTTAACCAACTGGAACAGACAAGGAAATCAACAAAAAATAACAAATTTAAACACACAGCTTGTAGCTAATTTCATCTCAACAGCAACAGTAAAGTTCAGTACTGTTTGATGACAAGGCCATTTCGTTGAACACTGAAACTGCCTTCCCCTTCAGACTACTCAATTAGTGCCACTTCCATACTTTATCAGGGGAAGTGCTTTTTACACTTTAATCTTAGCACCTGGAATACAATACATATCCCTGTGTCCAATTGCTCCTGTTCATTTTTGAAGCTGAAGAATGCTACATAACATTTACAACACCACCAGGCTGTTACACCAGACTAATGTGGCAGAAGGGACTAAGTCGCCTGGATAACTGTACCTGTCTTCTGAAAGAAAACAGCCCTGGTAACTACCTTGCTTTCCACATTACTGGTATTATTGCTGAAGCCAAATATAGGATAACATTATTTATTGATGAATAACACGCATGAGTAACACAAAGCAAGCACAGACTTAAGTGTCAGAGGGCAAAATATACTTTTCACCTGACATTGCAGCAATGTCTGTATCCTGCTACTTGATTACTTTCCTGGTACTGTGACTTACGCTTAGCAAGCTCATCAACAGTATGTATCATGTGTCCCATTTTCCTTCCCCAGCCTTTCAATTAACAGCATGAACACAGCTGAATATGAACTGCATGTGTATAAGGATTTACTTTTTTAAAAGAAAAATGTTACTTTACAAGCTATGAACATTCCTACAATTTGGTTAGGGCATTTTAAGAAATGAGATGCCTCTGAGAGGCTGAGTGTACAAAGTATAGGTGTATATTTAAATATGGAAAATTAACCTCTCTCAAAATGATTATCCATGATTCTATCATGTTTCCCTTTATTGAATTACTGCCAGTCCACCAGTAAGTCCCTAACTTTCCTAGCTTACAGACTTTGAGACAATATATTGAGGTAAAAATGTGTAAAGTTGAATCTGCTTATCACTACTCTAGCCAAGGAAAAGTAGCATTAATATCACACTAACATGTGTGCAAACTTGTTACAGAAACAAAACCTGATTACACCAGAATCATAGCTGAGGGGTTAAACATGATCCTAGTTATGTCCACAACAGTTAGCAGAATGCTGACTGGTTTTGTTTATTCCAGACACACATGCAAAACTCTACCAGCACCATTTACTGCTTCACCACCTGCCCTCATGTACCTGGAAGAGCCTTCTTGACATGCCTCTTGATTTTTTTTCCCCTAGGTTCAATTCCCACCATCCTTGAGAGGAATTTTAGGAGGGACGCTGAAGAATATCAGATTTCAAATGATTTAACCTACATCTCTTAGTGGAAGGTTTCAAGCTGAAGTTTGAATACAGGCAATTCCAACTTAGCCCCTCCTTTGCTGCCTGCGTCTGCTGGCCCTGGAGCACATCTCACACCTCAGGGGAAAAGTTATTCTGTGCCAAAGCTGTTTTGCAATGTGGGCAAGACCCGTGTTTGAGGCCTTGTTCCCCAGCACAAAAAAGCTATACACAAAAACATGTGCTGAGCCAGCCCGCAATAGTAAGGCTACTGTCACATACCAACTTAGTAATGCTCCGCTGCAAAAAGAACACACAGCACTGCCTTGTTATGCAGCAAAAGTCTTGGATACTCTGCTGACTTGCATCAGAAGCCTGTCACCTGCTCTTCCTGGAAACTCTGAATTCTTCAGTGCTTATTTAAAGCAAATAGTACCAAAGATTTCACTGCCATATAGCACACAGTGACTTAATCACTACCTTCTAAATGGCACCAGATACAGTACGGTACCTCATAAACAAAAGGATAAAAACAACACTTGCAAAAACAATACATGATTTCTCAAGAGTTTTTAAATACAATGCTTACCATACTATATATAAAATCGATCGAACACAGCACAATACCCACCATGAGACCAAAAAATTGGGTAGTCTCATGAACTAAGAATGCAATGATTTCAAATGCAGAAATATTCCTGTAAAACTTGCCTTCATGCATAGCACTAAGACCTTTGCTATCATACGTGAGATTATCAGAGGTAGCTTAACTGTACTCAAAGTCACTAATTGAAACTGAATGCAAGATAAGAAATCTCTTAAAGTAACACTAGTTTAGTCTTGAGTTTCAAGCCATCAAGGAAGATGAGCTTTTTGAGAAATATTTGTGGAAGTGTAGCATGTGGATCAAATATTAGCTCTAGACGCTTAACAGTCTTTCTGTTGGGACACCTCCACGCAAGACTGATAGCAGCTACTACAGAAAGTCCTGAAAGGCAAACATATTTGTCTTAAGAACCACTAAGTGCAGTTACATATTGCAGCAAACTGAACAGCACGCATATTGCTCCCTTATTTTTACACCTCATTGAGCCAAACAGGTTGTATTACACTCAAGTGAACACTAAGAACAGCTCAACTCCTAATCTACTAACCACCTAACAAAACATTTTTTATCCTACTGACATAATTCAAGGCACACACAAGTGATTTTTAAACAACTGATCAAGTACTCCACCACTTATCATAGGATGTAATTCACGGTATTTCATTAATATTTGTACAAGCTCTTGAACATTTCACATGCTAAATATCAGGTGTCAAGTACTTTGGCTCCAGCTTCAAGAAATAGAATATCCATCTTGTAACAGAATGTTGGCTGCTCTTTATCCCTACACAACTTAGTAGTAACACACCTCAGGTTTGTTTTCCCCCTTTTCATCCCACACCCTCATCTCAGAATAAGGGAAAGACATGAACAATCTTTCCATCCAAATGAATACCAGAACAATATCTGAAGCTGTTACTCTCCACAATCATTTACCACCTCATCTTTCTAGTCTAGTGAAAATCTAGTAGCCTTCCTCATTTTAGATGCATTAAAATAAATAAGAAATAAAAAGCTTTTAAAAGGTACACAATTATCAAACAAACATATATAATGTAATATGGTTACTGGATCTCAACCAGCATAGCAGGCTGCAAAACTGAGCTCTGTACAAAGAAAAGTGATAGCACAGAACCAGAAAGATTGCAAATCCTAGGCCAAGCTGCATTTTTAATTGTATTCTACCAAAATAACACCCCAATCAGCCGGTAAAAAGATCTCACAGAACATCAAACAAGATAATTTAAAATTCTTGCACTCAACTAATCTACAAAACATTTCCTTCACATCTAAGCAGCACTAATACAACAAAAATTTACAAAACTTCCCAAAGAAATTCCTTCCACTTAGTACAAAAGTCACTTCATGCTAATCCTGCAGGTTAATTCTACCTTTTCTCTGTATCAGAGAAAGCAAAAGGAAGAATAAGACCACAGGAATTTCCTTACCACTGATATCCAGCAAGAGGTACCCCCTATCAAACACGAGGGGCACTTAAATGCCAGAAACTGTCCTCAGCTCTTGCCACTCCAGAGCACAGCATGATCAGCTGCTCTGTGGAGGTGGCACAGGCTTCCTGTCCAGCTGCATGAGGGACCTCTGTGGACACAGAGCAGACTTGGCCAAGTGGAATCTTCCATCAAGTCATCTTACAGCACAGAATGCATGTTGCATTTTTATCAAATTAATTTTGCAAACTGAAGCCTCAAATACAAAGCCACGAGACTTCAACTTCTTACAAACCAATAAATATGTGAACGTTAAAACTAGTTGTCATTCGCCGCTTCTTCCATTAACTTACAGAGCCGAAAAAATCTACCCTTTTGAAGTTCTTGGGTTTTTTTAAATCATCATGGCTAGGCTTCGCGAATGAAGATTTGGGATTTGGTTGTTTTGTTTTTTTTAAATAGCAATCAGCGGTGACCAAGTGACTGGTCTGAGGCCACCTAATACATTAGCAACATAGATTTAAGAGACTGAGTGGGTAACATTTCCTGCAGTTTCAACTTTCTGAGAACGCTCAAGCCTTAAACTCTCAGAAAACCTGTCCCCCAAAGACAGAACCCTCCATTTAATCCTGAAACTTGAACAGCACACATGAAAACCAGTAACAGCACTTTTCCATGCTTCCTTTTTAATATTCTAATCCTTCACGCTCAAAAGCATTTTTACGCAGAACTAAACACTTCGGCCTCAGAAACCCCACCAATTTTACAGAAAAAAAAAAAAAGGCAAGACCGCTGAGTATCTGTTTCGAACCCAGTCCAACTGTTTGGTTATCCGACTGTACGACTGACACAGAGCATCATTTCCAGGAACGATCTGTTTGCTGCGCAGGCTGACACTGGAATCAGACCCCACAGGGTTCCCCAGACCCCCAAACGAGCCGCACAGCGACCGCACGGCCCGGCCTCCCCGAGCTGTGCCCCGGCCCCGCTCGGCATCCCCGCGGTCCCGCCCCTGCCCTCATCACCCTCACACTCCGTCTCCTACTGAGGCTTACAAAGTTCAGACGGAAACCGAGGCGACCGGGCACTGAACACTTCATCCCGAGCACCGCAGGACATCCCCCCACCCGCAGGCTCGTCCCTCACGGGCCGGCCCGGAGCGCCCGGCGGGCGGTCAGACTCCGGCGATGCGCCCGGGACCGGCCTGCAATCACGGCCGAGCGGATTTCAGCGCGGGCACGCAGCACAGGAGGCTGGTGCCCCTCCCGCGATAAGCGAAGCTGATCTCCTCCAGCACCGCCCCTGCAGCGGTGAAGCCCTTCCCTCCCGCAGCCCGGGGCGCGCACACGCCGCAGCGGGGGCAGCGCCCGCGGCCCCGGCGGGCTCCCACCCGCGGGGCGGCCCCGCCGCTCCCCCGCCTCACCTGCCGCTGAGTGGCGGTGCCGCGGTGCCCGTACCCGGCGCGGTGGCTCCTCCGCGCCCTCGCTGTCCCCGGCGGCGGCGGCGGCGGCCACCGCCACCCCCCATCACCGCCCGGAAGCGGCGGCGGCGGCGCCGGCGGCGGCGGCGGAAGGGGCGGGACGGGCCCCGCCGCGGCCTCTGCGGGAGGGTCCGGAGCTGTGCGGGAGGGCGGAGGGCTGTGCATGGTCGGCAGCGTGTTGTTTAGACCTCGTAAGACAAAAAAATAAGTAATCCGTAATCCCCACAGAGACCAGCTGAAGGGAGACGCAAGGGTGTTTTGCGCATGCTTAGACCGGGCTAAGGGAGTTGTTCTCCTGGAAGATACCATAGCCTAGGTTTTTCCCATATGATCTTTCTCTCCATCGCTGGGAACTTAGTACAGCCTGGATGTGAGAAAGACACTAAACAGGATTTTTTTTTTTTTTTTGAGAGTAAAAACATAGAGTGATCCTGACATAATTTAAAAAGCCACCAGTGCAGTAAGGAAAAATATCCCCATCCTTCATCTAAAGGCATGTGTCAGGACAAAATAGCAGAGAAAATTTACAGGAGCCTCGTCCTGTCAATCCTCATATCAATCCTTATATCAATCATTGCAAAACATTTCAGTTGCAGCATTATTCTTTTCTGATGCCCGTAGGAAACAAAATAAAACTGCAGCTGGCTGACAGGACTCAGTCATTTATCCACAGTGATCTGCAGCACAGATGTGAACAGCACAGATGACTTAGAGCTCCAGCAAGGCACTGTAATTTCGGGAGTTCCATAACCTATAAGTAATACAAATGGAGAGGATAGAAGGAAACAGACAAATTAGAAACAAATTGGTCCAGAAATAAATTTTGTGTATCAACTGACTGTGGTAGCAGCCAGCCCTTTGCTGCAGTTTGCAGAGCACTGAAATTTGCTTTGTTGATCATGTAATAAGTATGAGGTCCAAGACAAGTCTAAGTAAGTTGTAGCTTCAGTAGAAGTCAAAAGCAGGTGCTAGTGTAGCTCCATTAAGTTAATGACATCAGCCTTTTCAGAGAATGTGGCCTTGTGATCTTCATTCTTAATGAAAAAAAGGATCTTTCATAACACTTATATGCTGCTGTAGTGAAACAAGGAAATTTTGCATTTCAAAGTGCTTCAAAACCGCATCACGTTGTCATCATCAAGCAATCTAATGCAAATACCCACTGTTGTACAATCTCAGCTGTAATCGGCTATATACTGGATATTCAGATCAGAAACAAGCTGTGAGAACTGCTTTTTTCCACATGCCCTGATATTGGTTCTAAGGTGCATATCTCTAAGCGGTCTGTTCTGTCCCACTTTTATTTTTTTAAATGATGTGGTTTCCCAGAATAACTTGCTTAAGTTGGAGGGAATGTTCCACTTTCTTTGCCAGTTTAGCAGCCTCTGCAAACAATGTAGGAATCAAGTGTGATTTCAGTCCTCACAATGTTCCCCTTCTTTCTCTTTTTGATGTGAAATTTTCTTTACCAACTGCCAGTCAATTGCACCTTTTTGCACAATTCCAGGTCCTGAATTGGTAAAATTTACAATACATTGCTGCATCTGCTTGTATCTGAACAACTTGTATAAACTAAAAATGTAAAAATAAGCACAAACTGAAATTAAAAATTGCTGCAAAAATAACTCTAGTAGGCTGCAGGGCTGTCTCATCATGGAATAGGTCCCCGTGACAGTGTCTGAAGCACAGTCCTGAAGCTAACTCACATTTCAGGTTCTCATTCTTAGCCTTCGCATGGGAGGTGCCAGGAAACTGCTGCTTTGTTCAGAGTGCTATGGCTTTGTGATGTGGTTTGTTTTTTTTTTCATCTAAACATTCACAAGAGTCTACCAGCTCACCAGATTCCAGCAAGGAAACAAAAATTAAAGCAAAAGTTTCCTTACCCTGTTTCTCTACACAATTTGTAGCAAGACCAGCAATCCAACTAAAAATTACTTCCCAAATTCAGTCTATAGACTTCAGAAGTCAAGGTTGGAAAATGAGCTATATTTAGACAGGCGTATAAATACAGGAGTATCTGAAGTTTACAGGCTTTAAGGTATGTTATTCCAGCAATTGATTTCCATGCAGTGAACCCCTGGCCAAAAGTTGCATCCAGAGTAAAAGTGAGTAAGACAGACAGACATATATACACTGGAGAGCACCCTATGTCTGGCTACAGAGGGTGCTGGGCTGGTTTGCAGCAGTGATTTGCCCAGTGACAGGAAAAGGAGTAATGGTCATAAACTAAAACACAAGAAGTTCCACCTCAAGATGAGGAAGAACTTCTTTACATTGAGTGTGGCAGAGCACTGGAACGGCTGCCCAGAGAGGTGTTGGATTCTATCTCTCTGGAGACATTCAAAACCCACCTGGATGTGTTCCTGTCCTGCTCTGAGTGAGCCTGCCTTGGCAGGGGGGTTGGATTGGATGATCTCCAGAGGTCCTTTCCAACCCTAACGAATCTGTGATTCTGTGAACCTCAGCACTGGAAAAAGGCTTGATCATTAGTTTCTATCCAAAGTTATTGCTAATGGCATTTTTATGTTCTGTCTATTTTCATCACCTAACAAATATTTTGAAAATCACCAAATTAGCTTGCACAGAAAAGTAATAAATAGCATAATTTAAAACTTGTATCTCTTAGATGAAAGTAGATGTGTAATAGCTGCTTAGCTGCTGCACTTCAAAGCTGAAAACTACTTCTCTTTGCTAACAATTGATGTTCTTTAAAAGGGTGAATTATCTAAATAGTTTGTGCTTTATTTAACAGAAATTTCCAATAAACCTTATTCCTTCACTTTGAGTTATGTCACTTCATGCCATGTGACATGAAGGCATTGATGTAAGTTTGACAGGCAGTGCCAATGCTGACATGTCAGTTTGAGAATTTGTGACAAGCTCTATACTACAGATCTTTTTAAAACAACTATGGATTGCCAAGGAAAAAAAGTCTTTAAAATGTGTAATAACACTGATGCATCTTTAGATTGAAAACAATTTATTCAATTCAATAGTTAGATTGATTTAATGTTCAGGCTGACACTTAATACAATAAAAGAAAAGAAATTTATATTGAAAATTCCCAACTAGCTCAAGTTACAATATATTATATAGCAAAGGAAAATGAGATGTGTTAATGTAATGCTTTGGGGTTTTTTTAAACTGTCATTAAAGAATACTGTTAGCATTTAATAATTTGAAATAATCTGTCTCAAATTTTAAGACCCTACGCAGAAAAAAAAAGGCCTCAGCTGAACAGAGAAAGAATTGCTTATGAAAAATCTCAGCCAGCAAAGAATACAATATGGCAAGGGGAATGTCTTTCACTAGAAGTGCTAATTGATCTAAATCATGCTCTTTTTTTTTATTTTCTGGGTTGGAGGATGTGTTGATTTGGTAATATCATTTTTGCACAGATCAGGTCCTGCCCTATAATTTCTTTGTAATCTCTTTACTTCATTTGAAGAATACTTAGGTCAGTCATGCGTGAACTTTCAAGCATCTGTTTTATCTTCAAATTTCCTAATTCTGTACTGGAAGAAAAATAGATTGAATGCCTAAGGGCTAATCAAAGTAGTGAATCATAATCATTTTTCAAGACACAAAATGAGCTTATTAGAGGAGAAAAAAAAAGGGAAAAAAAAGAATTAACTCTTTATGATCATCAGAAAAATTGTTTCATATGTTAAAAATACATTAATATTGTGGAACACCAGAAAACTGTCTCACTTAGCATTTACCAAAATGTACCAGAATTCAAATAGTTCAATCCTTCTTCAATAGTTAGCCATCTCAAAAATCAAATCCTGGAAACAGGCTGATGAGTGAAATGAGAAGATCTTTTGCAGGTGGAGACACTGTATCTATAGAACCCTAGCTAGCTGAACTTCCATTCTGTAATGTTTTCCCTGTAAAAGCTTTCTTCTTTCAGAATATGTGAAAGGAGCCTGATTTTGGCCCTGTTTTCATTAGAGAGATGGAAAGGTGTCACAGGTGTCAGTTAGAATTGATAGCACTAATTTCAGTAGAAGAAATAGAAAAGCTACCATGAATTTCCTGTTCTCAGCTGCTGCGCATTTTCCCGATAATGCCGTGCTTCGGGCTACTAGAGCACTCCATGGCAGTTTACACTGTTGCTACCTAATATATTATTAGCCAGGGAATGTTTGATTTAGATTATTGCAGCAAGTACTACCTACAAAGTAATCACAAAGGCATAGTCCAAGTAGAAGGATGCCTTCTGTTGCTTGTTCTGAAATTAATCATGCATTAATTTCAACTGAGACAGCAGCTACTGTTCATATATAATTACACACAAATGTTTGGTTTAGTGCTGCCCACCATTCCAACAGCCAGGAGAACCTCCAAATTCTTGGAATCTCGAAAAGTGCCTCCTGCACAGAAAGCTACCTTTGCCTCTATTCAGTGTGAACGTATATCAGTTTGTTGCTTTTTACATCCATTCTTTGTAGATTTAAAAGGACCTGGAAAAAAGCACAATGTAGAGAGGCAAATGTATCTGAAAGCCAGATCTCTGCCTCCTTTCTGTTTCAAAAGCAACTCCTGGCTAAAAAAGGTCAGTAACACAGCTTTACCAAAGCCATGCTTGCAGACTATTAAATGTTTAGAAGATGTTAGATGTGGAATGTCAGTCTTTTGAAGCAGATAGCTGCATGCCATACAAATGTCGAAGGCACTCAGGACTTGGATATCATTTTTGCTGGAGTTCACGTTTTTCTGTTTGTCATCTCTCGTGTTGCAGATGAACTTTGAATTCTTAGTCAGTGCATTTGGAGTAGAGGCCAATAAAAGTTTTGCAGCTGAAAAGGGATAAACTTAATCATGAATGTCACCTATTTGACAGAACTTGATTGGCAACAAATGGGCTGGGGTTACATTTAATAAAACCTCATAGTAAAGTCTCACCTTGAGTCTCCACCCAGAAACCTGAGAAAAGTAAACTGAATTGAACAACTTAACTTGCTCAGTCAGTTTGAGCACAAATCAATCGGCTTAAAAAGCACTAGTTTACTGAAGGAAAAAAAGAAGACCAAAACAGAAAAACAAGTTAACATATTAAGGGCATATACCTATTGCTTGTAGTATAGCTTCAACCATTTTTCCAGTCCTCTCCTCTGCTGGATCTGACCAGCTGATTGCCTCACTCACTGCAGAGCCTGACTGCCTGTCCCACTGCCCCCTCTAAATAAGCACTGCAGTGCTATTGCTTGTAGTTTCCCTTATTTCACCTTTTAGGTCAGAACATATATGGCAGGGGGAAGTAACAAGTCTTTTTGTATACAGCATGCTCTTAAGCAGTTTCTTCCCTAAATCCACGGAATATTAGTAATTTCTGCTTCATGGGATGTTCTATACAAAGTCACTTTCTTTCCTCTTCTTGCAGATGACTTTTGCCCTCTGATGCTGGAAACTATAGCATCGTATTATGGTGATCTCTCACCCTGAGTACTCCTAAGCATAGTTAATTAGTCCAGACTTTAATACCCAGTTTGAAATGTCTCTTGAAAAATTAGAGCAAACCTTCTCTCCATCATAGTATATAAATGCATGCAGAATAAAGGTGGCTCAGACCGGACCAAGAGCTCTTTTCATTCATTGCCTTTTTTTCCACAGGGGATACTATCAGCAGCAAGCTTCTCCTCTTGAGTCACCTCCTCTGGTGGACTGCCAGGCTTACAGAGAAAGAGCATCACCGTTTCTTTTGTTTTGCCTCATAGCTCCATCGCTGACAGTTTTACAGCCCCCTGCCAGGAGTCACACGTCCTGCACAGGCACCGTTGTACTTAAAAGGGCCCAGTAATACTACAATTTGATAGGATGGGTCTCTAACCTGTGGCTCTCCAGACCTTTCTATATAAACTAACTCAGTGGCTCACAAGTTTCACCTGACAACCATTATACTCATGGTCTTTGTTCTCTTTTCAACAGAGGGAGGTATCATGCAATACATGGCAGGTGTATTGTATTAACAGAGTGATGAAAGAAGTGACTGCAATAGAAAATATTAAAAATATGAAGTACAGTTAGGCTCAGATAATTTTACTCAGTGAAAAAACACTAACTTCAAGAAATAAATTTCTCTAGATTATCAGTAATAGGCAAGACATAATCATCTGCTTGGTGTTTAACCTCCTGGTGACCATGTTGGTAGGACCTGCTGGTGTATCTCTGACCCTTTCACAGATATGTTTTTAAGCACCTCAAAATAAATGGCAGACAATTGTTAATGAGACAGTTGCCACTCTATTTGCACTGGACAGGTTTCTATTTTTCCTTTATCAGGCCTTTAAATGCTTGTGATGAATGCCCATGCTCTGTCGAGGACATGAGTGAGAACAGTCACAGCCCTGTTCTGGGGGGTGTCCTGCGGGCAGGGGGCTGCTGCCACATGTGGCTGATGTGCCCGGTACCAGGGCTGCTGTGCAAGCCCTAAGAAGCGGACTGGAACAAGTAAGGCCCCAGCAATGCCCAGTTTGGTCCCTGCACCTGTTTGAACTGGCTGTGCCGGTCAGGGTTCTGCAGAGGCGAGGGGCCAGCGCTGGGGAGGGGGCCCGGGGGCGGCTGCAGCGCAGGGACGGCCCGGCTGCGGGCACAGGCTGGCTGCGGCACCTGCCCCAGCCCATCTCCAGCCCATCTCCAGTCTCCCCGTGACCGACCGGGGCTGGCAGCGCCCCAGGGCCCAGCGCCGGACTCCGGCCGGGGCAGCGGGGTCTCTGCCTGGCTCCCAGCATGTCCGGGGCGGAGGTGCTGGACACCCAGGGACCTGCAGGCGCTGTGGAATGCACGGGGGACGTCCCCTCTCTTAAAGAAATCGAGCAGCTCCTGAACACCGGGCGGCCCTCTTGCAACCACGTTGATGAAGTATGGCCTAATCTCTTTCTAGGAGACCTGTAAGTACAGCTTTATGGACACACCTCTGCCATACCTTCTGTCTGTTAGTATGCCTCATGGGTGCGGCTTTAGACAGCTCATAGCTTTCCTAATTGCTGTCATTTACACTGCAGACAGCACGATTTCCGAGATAAAATTATGACTCAGCTGGTACTTGCTTCTAGGTTAGCCCTTAGAGGCAATGCACAGCCTGATGCTCCAGCTTGGGAAATGCAGTCTCACAGTGCTACTCCTGATCTGTGAATGTCACTGCACCCATTTGATTTGTTTGCCTTTGTCTTTTCCTTAGAGTAACAGCTCACAACAGATTTATTTTGTGGAAGATGGGCGTGACCCATGTTTTAAATGCTGCCCATGGCACAGCCTACAGCCACGGAGGCCAGGACTATTATGGAGCGACCATTCATTATTATGGTGTACCAGCCCATGACCTGCCAAGCTTTGATATAAGCCAGTTCTTTTTCTCCGCAGCACAATTTATCCACAAAGCCTTGAACACTCCAGGAGGTATGAAATTATTGTTGGTCATATTTTTATGCAAGTTGGCAGCCTCTTATAACAGATCAGCTCCACAAGCTCAGTGATGGACCAGTCACTACATGGCGTCCTGCTAGCTGCTGGTTACCTGCACGGTGGGTGGCAGGAGGAGGGAGTGCTGTGTACCTGGACGTAGCTCTGACTAGGTCCCAAAAAGCTTATGTGAGAAAAGAAATGAACAGTGCAGGAGAGAGACTGGGATGGAGAGAGGAAGAGAGGGGAAGAGAGGAGAATATCTGGACGGAAAGGCTTATTCAAAAAAAGGAGAATCAAAAACATGCATTTAAAATGAACACCCTCTTTTGAGATCCTTTTATAGCAACTGTACTTATAAGAACAAATGAATAAAGAAACAAAAGTCCTAATTTCTACAATCACCAACTGTATGAGGAGGCTCAGATATTGCAGATGAGCTTCTTGTTTGAACATGGCCTGCAGGGCTGTGTCCCCAAGGAGAAGAATTACCTTTACCCAAGGAGATTTATAGTGAATTGCACAAGAAACTGAGCTTCTTGGCAGTGGTACAATATAATACTAATTAACCTGTTTTACATAAAAGATCATTTCTTAGCATGAGTAAACTGGCATTAATGGAGCTGTCTCTATATCACAAGTTTTGCCTTCAAAATACAATTACAGTTGCATCAAATTGCCTTATTATGCAATGGTACTAGCCAGTCATTTTTCTTTTGTTAGTGCCATCCACTCAGGCCAAATTTTAACATTCTTCTTCGCCTAAGTAAGCCCTTTGAAACCAATTGGTCTGATTTTCCTCTTTCTCACAACAGAACAACTTCATTACTTCAACGGGGGTTTTTTTCTGTGATTTGCCATTGTTTCTGACATCAGGTGGGGATCTCATGGCACTTCTTACACAAGTGAGTGTAACAATGGCAAATTAGAGTTAATTGTTAGCAGTTCATATGATTTATCAGAAGGGTAAGAAATACATCATGTTTGCAGTGTTACTGTGAATAAGCTGGAGAAGGCAGAAGGGCTTTGCCTTCCCTTTAAATTAAACTTTGTCCACTGTACTGCTTCTCTTCCATGGTTATAATTTTTTAAATTTTTTTTTTTACCAGCTAAAATATTGGTACATTGTGCAGTTGGAGTAAGCAGGTCAGCTTCCCTAGTCCTGGCATATCTCATGATAAATCACCACCTCCCATTAGTTGAAGCCATCAAAACAGTGAAGGAGCATCGATGGATTTCACCCAATCGTGGCTTTCTGAAACACCTGCGAAATTTGGATGTTCAGCTACGGCAAAAGAAGGACTGCTGACTGGGCAAACCTATTTGCATTCACTTTACTGAGTTTCAGCCTTCACAGTCATTGTGCATACACAACTTCCTATGATCAGTGCATGTTACAAAAATGAAGAAAATTATGCATCAAAGTAAAAGGTCAAGAGACCTGTAAATGGATTAATTTTGATAGTTCAGTTCCTCCAAGACCAGCTCAGCCAACATCAGCACTGTAAGCACTGTGTGCTGTGAGGCTGCCGTGCCTACAGTGGCACTACCATATAAATCCACTGAAGTGGTTAAGATGGACCGAGTTTGTTCCTGGTTTGTGCTAATGCCAGAGGAAAGTTCAGTACTTGCATCTAGCGGTAAAGGATGTTTGAGTCCCCTTTACTCGGGAGGGTAACATAATCATCTTCGTCAGTTTGGTTACAGTTCTCATAAGCATGTTCTCATCAGAAAAGCTTTTTGTGTTTCAGGCCTGGTTATGTGGCAAGGGCAGTTTCTTAAGAGCCCAGGGACTCCTACAGAAACATTCCTCTTTCACAGGTCTGCTAAATATTACAGTGCTATAGAAAGCTGTGACAGCCAGAAGACCCACACCAGCAGAATAAACGTCTGTGAAGCTCTCTGCAGTTTGGGTCAGCAAAACCACAAATCTTTTCTTGTTAAATACATTTTCAGCAAGATAATGTATATCATGTAGTATATTGAGGACATTAAAAAATGTCAGGTCTCTGAAGCATTTTGTAAGCCTAAACTCATCAGTTTGTTCTCACTCCAAATTATCCCAGGTCAGTTCTGTGTCAGTGGCTTTGAATCATCCATGGTTTAATATCAGGTAGAAGCTTAGCTTACATCAGTGGCTTGGCTTTAATTGATACAAATTAGTTTTAAGCTGTTTTGAGCATGTCGCTTTTCCTATCACCAGTTAATCGGTACTTAAACCAATGTGATTTTTAATATAGCAACTGCATTTGAAATTCGTGCTGCCACTCTGACTGAAAATTAGCTTGTTATCTTGTGGTGAACCATGAAGTGATAATCAAATTTGGTTTTGCCCTTTGCTACTGGTTTGATTTATTGATTAGTAGAACTTATAAAGATTCTCTGCTAGATTAAGTAAATACCTTTCTACTTGTTTGTTTGCATTTGAAGCATCAGTTCTGATAATTTTCCTCTCTGCTGGAAGAGAGGTTATTAGAAGACTAAAATAGTGGTAACTTGTGAGTTGAACCTCTTCCTTCCCAGACCCCCATATTCTCCTTAATTCTTGGAGATGTTATGACATGAATGCTGATTCTGCCTAGCATTTATGGGAATTTAGAAATCTGTCCCTGTTTTGCTGTACGCAAGTGCTTTGCAAAATAAGCATATTTAAGATTCTTTCAGACATCAATTTCACTGTTCAGATTTTCCTAAACCTTGCCAAAGAGCTCCACTGATGAGAGAAAGATAAGACATTGTCATGTAAAAAGATCAAATAGGAAATCACATTTAAAATCCAACAGCGGTGGGACAACTTTTATAACTCACAAAGAAGCAAGGTGGAGGAGGAGGAGCTGGGTTTGCTTTGAGGTTCTCCATTAAAATTAATAGGGATTTATATGACTTAATATTTCATTACAATTTATACTTCATTCACATTACAGTAGCTTTTAATCTGGAAACCTTTTGAAGACTTGGCATTGAAAAATCTGAAACTCATGTGAGTGAAATAATGCATTTTAGTGGCTTTAGGCTGGGCAAAATTAGACACATGTGAGCAAGATTAATGGAATCTCCCCATCAGGATAATGCTTTGCGTGCCCCTGAACATCTGTCCTACAAAGCCACAGCTGTGAAAGCTGCTCCTGTTGTAAATTAGTACCTGCTCTTGAAGATACTGCTTACCCTGGGAGAGTATTGTTTTAGCAGGGGTAGAGGAGAGATGAGTACAGAGCAAAGCTGAGTCAGTAGGGCATCCAAGCCACCAATGACATGGTAGTGATCTTGTAAGCAAAACTTACCTCAGTGGAGAGAATGAACTAGTGCTCTTTTCAAGGGCACTAGCAAATCACAGAAGTGTTTTTAATCTGTGGAGTCAGCGTTGCCTATATTTACCATCTGTCTGCATTGCCCCCTTCCTTATATACAGATTAACTTTGACTCCAGTTTTGTTCAGGAAAAAAGATTCCAGTCAACATAAGCAAAAGCAGAAGAGTTAGCACATCACAGCAAACAATGCTTTCTGTTTTAAGAAGTTACATGACTAAGAGGAAAAGGGACCTCCTCACCTGTTACTTACAGTACCCAAAATTCAAGTCATACTGGGCTATGACATTAGCACTTCATTTCTTTCTACTATAAGCATGAAAACTTGTATTTTGAGTGTTGGTTTGGCAAGTTAGACTAAGGAACCAAAACAAAGGAAAAATACTTCCTTGCCAGTGGCACTTCGTTCAGAAAAATGCACATTTGTTGAGTGTCTACACAACCCAGGAGAATAAAGGCACTGAAATTTAACTTCTAACTGAGGGAGAATTCCATTTGAAAGATGTTTAAATACCTAAAGGTAAATTAGGTACCTGCTGAGCTGGCCAAAGCACCTAGGCTCATGCAGCAGTGCCTGTATATCCTCCCAGGAGCTTGCAGGAATTGTCAGTCCTGGTGGTCCTACCTGACCAGGAGCTAATTACCTTCTATCTCCTCTGAAGCTACAGGGGCACAGACCTTCCTGCCCCAGACTTTGTGGGACAGAAATCCATTCAGGTTACAAAATACTTAGAAACTCCATGCAGATCAGGAAGCTCATGAGCTGCAGCTAGATGGGACCTGGGAGAGGTTAGAAAGCAGTATAATTCACACTTGTGTGTTCTTACTTTCTATAGGCATCCACTTTGCTTACATCCAGTCAGGCACAGGATAGTGGGTAAGGCCCAGGACAGTGGCTCTCATGATCTTTATTTTGAACTTACCCTTAAGATGCGCTATCCCCTCTTTCCTGGTAGCTTATTATTAGAACTGGGTCACATGAGGCATTTGGGACTGTGTCTCAGTTGCATTGACCGACATTTCTTTCCCAGGGAAAGCTCTATGCTGGCAGGAACAGCAATACAGCTCATGTGGGGAGGGGAGTAGCATTTTTTTGCATAAGATTCAGTTAATGCAGAGTTTTCATTTTTCTGGCTGTTGCCCATTGCACGAGGGATGTGGCGCTGAGCTAATCCAGGGAGGCGTCAAAGCGCGTGCCGTATTTAGAGTCAGCCACCTGCTTGGAACATCAAGCAGCAGCAAAGAGCCTGCTTCAGCAGAAAACTGCCCTGTGGGTCCTGCAGCAGCACCGTCCAGCAGGCCCTCCTCTGCCTAAATCTGCGTGTGGCCTCCGAAGGGGTCAGCACCTGAAGACAGTCAGACCCTGTCAGCCTGGGAATGCTCTGAGGCTGGCACTCCCTCTGCCCAGGAACTGCCAGATATTTTGGACAGCTGCAAGGTGGAAGTAAATCACGTGGGTGAAGAGTGGCCTAATCTCTACATAGGCAATATGTAAGTGTTATTTGAGGCTGAGCTGTTCTGAAGGGCTGGGAAATACAGTACTCGTTAACATATGCTGTCCAGCTTTATTTAGTTAGCATTGGTAAACTTCATTGCCTTAAAATAGACTTAAGATTAGCATAGAAGAAAGAAAAAGGATGATTCATTAAAGAAAGAACCCACTGAACAGAAAATTAATTAAAAAGAGAATTAGACTCTATTGCTTTGCATTATTTTATAAATGCTGCAGCATTTACCATACAAAGCACAGGACAGACTCATGATCCTGAGCAGCCTTAAAATTGAACAGTGATTGGTTTTACCTTTTTTGTTTTAATTTAACTAGAACGGAAATTTTCACATTCAAAAGTATTTTGATTTTGGCTGTTTATATGACAACTTGATTTGCAGTTGAAATTTCTAACAAAAACCAATATGGATGTTCTGAATGACAGCAGACTCCACTGTTTGTTTTTCAAAGCTGTATAGATGGATATTTCACTCATGCAGTCATCTGCACTCAACGTGCCTAGTGCCCGATGTTATGCCAAAACAAGTTTTTTTCACCACCACCAGGTTGCAAACTTGTTGAAATATCTGGAAATTAAAATTACAATAATTCCTACATGAGAGAAGCAGGAGGAACTAACAATCCTTTGGCTAATTGCCCATTGATTACAGATAAATGTGGGCAATCTTTTAGCTATGAAAAAGCAGAGCCAAAAAAATGAGCTAGGTGATGGGGAAATAATTTTCATTTACAAAACTTGGTTTTACAAATTGCAACCTGCTTCCCCATCTCACTGCACTTCTAATGAGGAGTGTGACACCCTGCAGGTGGGCCCAGCAACGGGGGCCATGAGTGTGGAAAGGCAGAAGCCAACACAACAACATGCAGTGCTTCGCTGAACTTCTGCCTTGGCAGTGAGAATGGGGAACCAACCTCAGCTTTTCCAGTTAAACCTTGTAACTGTACTTGGAAATTAAAGTTTTACTTATTAGAACCATTTGGATTTGTACAATTGAGCCCAACAGGTAGTAAAAGTAAAGACTTAATACAAAAATCACTGAAATTGGTGGGGAATAAAATGTAAAACAGTGTATGTGTAGTAAGGAAAATATGAACTTTGAGAACATTCAGCTAACAGGAATAAAAATGTAAACAGGTTTGTTTGCTAATGCAACAGCTGATCGCTAATATCAGCTTAAATACAAATTACAGACTGCAAATAGTGAAACTGGAAGTTGATCAAGTGCTACAGACAGAATTTTCTTCATTTTGCCAACATCAATAAGACAAATATGAACAACTCCTGAGAATAAGGTTTCATGGGATCTTCATGAGATAGAAATGGGGAATAGAGTATTAAATTAATCATTAAGTATTTGCATTTAGGGCCCAACCCAATACTCAGTGAAGTCAATAAGCAGTGGATGTTTCTATCGCTGAGCAAACCCATGCCAGCATCAGGACTCGTGTCAGAGCTAAAGTAACCCAAAGCAGTACCATATATTGTCACTTCTTGTTTCTGTGGAACCAGTTGTGTGCAGTTTCTGAGCAACTACTTGGAAATCAA